CTGGAACTCTCTACCTCAATTTATCAGACTATCGCCTACTCTGCTCACTTTTAGGCGATCTCTGAAAACCTATCTCTTCAGGGAAGCCTATCCTGCCCTCAGCTAATACTGAAATCTTCTACTCTTCCAACCAGTCCATCCCCCACAGTTACTACCAGTTGTACCACTAGACCCTCCCTCCTAGATTGTAAGCTCCAAGGAGCAGGGCCCTCTTGTATTGAACTGTATTGTTGCTGTATTGTCTCCCTTTATATTGTAAAGTGCTGAGCAAACTGTTGGCGCTATATAAATCCTGTATAATAATAATAGTCTTAGTCTCTAGGGTTCAGTATTGAGCAGGCCCACACTTTGCAGCTATAACAGCTTCAACTCTTCTCTGAAGTCTGTCCACAAGGTTTAGGAGTGTGTCTATGGGAATGTTTGACCATCTTTCCAGAAGCGCATTTGTGAGGTCAGGCACTGATGTCAGACAAGAAGGCCTGGCTCGCAGTCTCCACTCTAATTCAACCCAATGGTGTTCTATTGGGTTGAGGTCAGGACTCTGTGCAGGCCAGTCAAGTTCCTCCACCCCGAACTCTCTCATCCATGTCTTTATGGACCTTGCTTTATGCACAATCATGTTGGAACAGGAAGGGGCCATCTCCAAACTCTTCCCATAAAGTTGGGAGTATAAAATTGTCCAGAATGTCTTGGCATGCTGACGCCTTAAGAGTTCCTTTCACTGGAACTAAGGGGCCAAGCCCCACCCCTGAAAAACAACCCCACACCATAATTCCCCCTCCACCAAACTTTACACTTGGCACAATACAGTCAGACAAGTACCATTCTCCTGGCAACCACCAAACCCAGACACGTCCATCGGATTGCCAGACAGAGAAGTGTGATTCGTCACTCCAGAGAACTTGTCTCCACTGCTCTATACCCTGTTCCAAATTATTATGCAAATGATATTTTATTCATTTACCTAAATGATTGATGTAAATAACAGTCAGCATAATTCTCATGTTATCAATTATTAAGAGTACAATTCAAATTTTATTGAACAAACCTCCTAATGATAACAGTATTTTTTTTAAACTTAAAAACCTTACAATGCACTGTTCCAAATTATTACGCACAGTAAGTTTCAAAACACTTTATAGGTTGTAAAGAACTGAAAATGGTAATTTGTTGTGTTTGCAGCATATTTACTGAAATCAAAAGCTATTTCAATCAAACTTTTAACAACATTTTAACTTTTTAAACATTTTAACAGGTCACGTTACATTGTAACATAGGACCCTTATTTGATAGCAGCATCACAAGTCTTTGAACATCCATTGAACTTGTGAGTTTTTGGACAGTTTCTGCTTGAATTTGTTTGCAAGATGTCAGAATAGCCTCCCAGAGCTGCTGTTTGGATGTAAACTGCCTCCCACCCCCATAGATCTTTTGCTTGAGGATGCTCCAAAGGTTCTCAATAGGATTGAGGTCTGGGGAGGATGGAGGCCACACCATGACTTTCTCTCCTTTTATCCCCATAGCAGCCATTGATGCAGAGGTATTCTTTGCAGCATGAGATGGTGCATTGTCATGCATGAAGATTATTTTATTAAGGAAAGGATAATTCTTCCTTCTGTACCAGGGAAGAAAGTGGTCAGTCATAAACTCCACATACTTTGCAGAGGTCATCTTTACACCTTCGGGGACCCTAAAGGGGCCGACCAGCTCTGTTCCCATGATTCCGGCCCAAAACATGACTCCACCACCGCCTTGCTGATATCGCAGCCTTGTTGGAACAGGGTGGCTGTCCACCAACCATCCTCTACTCCATCCATCTTGACCATCCAGGGTTGCACGGCACTCATCAGTAAACAGGAGTGTTTGAAAATTAGTCTTCATGTATTTTTCTGCCCAATGCAGCCGTTTCTGCTTGTGAGCAGTGGTGGCCGAATAGAAGGTTTATGCACAGTTGCAAGACTCTGGATGACTCTACACCTTGATGTCCGTGGGACTCCAGAGGCACCAGCAGCTTCAAATATCTGTTTGCTGCTATGTAATGGTATTTTAGCAGCTGTTCTCTTGATCCAATGCATGGATCTGGCAGAAATCTTCCTTAATGTGCCTTTATCTTCACAAACCCGTCTGTGCTCTGAATCAGTCACAAATCTCTTAATAGTGCGATGATCACGCTTATGTTTTCGTGAAATATCTAATGTTTTCATACCTCGTCCAAGGCATTGAACTATTTCACTCTTTTCGGCAACAGAGAGATCCTTTTTCTTCCCCATATTGCTTGAAAATTGTGCTCTGCTTAATAATGTGGAACACCCTCCTTTAGTAGTAAATTGGGCTCACCGGCCAATCTAATTATCACAGGTGTCCGAGATTGTTTTCAGTGATCAAAAGAGCCCTGAGACACAATGCCATCCATGAGTTAAACTGAAAAACAAAATATTTAATCTTTGTGACACTTAAATAGAATTTGCATAATAATTTGGAACAGGGTGTAGAGTCCAATGGCGGCGTGCTTTACACCACTGCATCCGACGCTTTGCATTGCACTTGGTGATGTAAGGCTTGGATGCAGCTGCTCGGCCATGGAAACCCATTCCATGAAACTCCTGAGAGCGACCCATTCCTTCACAAATGTTTGTAGAAGCAGTCTGCATGTCTAGGTGCTTGATTTTATACCCCTGTGGCCGTGGAGGGGTGTCCCAATACTTTTGGCAATATAGTATATATATATATATATATATATATATATATATATATATATTATATTTATTTTTTTTTTTTAATACATATATTCCTAGGATATAGGGTCTGTTGTGCCTGTGGCGGTTACATGAGCTGCTACAGCTATAATTACTATCTTGTCTTTGGCATTTAAAACTTCACTAAGGCTTAAAATATAAGCATCACTCATACTCCATCTCTGTGTGTGTACCTATAAAAAGTGAAATGAACACAAGCTTGGAATGCCATTACAGTTTTTCTTTCTGAGTCTACTTTAGAAAATATATTTAGAGTGAGCCCATAACAGACAAGCTTTACATGGGCTGGAGAGCCCATCCTGAAATTCTAATGTTCTATAATTAGTCCTTAGTGAGGTTTCTTCTCCTCGGCTCACATCCTTTACATATGTAGCCCTGTTGGTACTGATCTTCAATAAATATTGACTCCCAGATGACCAACAGTTATATTACAAAAGTCTACATTACAAAAGTGCCAAGCACTCTTAAATGGCAATAGGATCTCGAGCACATTTGACCTCAGGGGTGGTTATTTTCTCAGAGTGAAAAGCATAGACTCCAGTCACTTTATTGAGCTTAAAACAAGAGCTAGTTTATTGCAGATTGCCACATGGAGGGCTAGCTAATCAAATACAAAAAAAAAAAAAAAAAAAACCAACAACAAATGGATTCCCACATCCACACAATCGAGGTACATGAGGGAATCCTCCCTGCTGTGCTTCTGACAACGGGGACTCCTCCACTGTCAGAGTACACTGATCACTGCTGCAGACGATTCCCTGTAACACTAATTGAACAAGAATTTTCCAACATTCCCATTCAAGAGACTGACTTCTCACTAGTGTGAACTGCCGAAGGTCGATTGAAATTTGGCTGAATTTACCTATGGCCAGCTTAAGGCACAGATCAGGATATCCCAAAAACATAGCTTGTCTCAAACACCAGACTAAGCCCTAATCTATTCGTTATCTCTCATACCTGACTAATTATTTCCTTTCCTTCTGAACACAGACTTTGCTGTCTGATTACTGCTTGGCTATTGAGGTTCAAGTGGTATCTCAATCTTTATTTTCTAAGGCATGGAAACATGGAAAGCTTCTTGTTGGCCCTCTATACATCTGGAGGAAAGGAGATTTAAACTCTATATATAGAAAGAGTTGTGAAAATGTGGAATAGGCTCAGTGGCCAGCTCAGTAGATTGTTCTAAAAAAGAGCTGGATTCCGAAATGCACAAAATATAACTAGATATTAACATTTATAGGTAATTACAGCAGGGATTGTAGATCTAAGAAATATATGATTACCTTCAGGAGGATCAGGAGGGTTTTTTCCCTTGCTAGAGTAAATTGGACCATGAAAAAGACGAAGGAGAGGAGTTAATCTAGAGGATGAGTCACTCTACCAACAGTATATTAACCACTTGCCTACCAGGCACTTATACCCCCTTCCTTACCAGGCCAATTTTCAGCTTTCAGCGCTGCCGCACTTTGATTGACAATTGCGCGGTCATGCAACATTGTACCCATATGAAATTTTGATCATTTTTTTCTCACAAATAGAGCTTTCTTTTGGTGGTATTTAATCGCCACTGGGCGCTTTACTTTTTGCGCTATAAATTAAAAAAAGTGCAAAAAATTTGAAAAAAAAAAAAAAAGTTTATTTGTTTCTTTTATAAAATTTTTCAAACAGGTATTTTTTCTCCTTCACTGATTTGCGTTGATGAGGCGGCACTGATGGGCACTGATAGGCGGCACTGATGGGCACTGATAGGCAGCACTAAAGGGCACTGATAGGCAGTACTAATGAGGTGGCACGGATAGGCGGCACTGATAGACAGCACTAATTAGGGGTCACGGATAGGCGGCACTGATATGCAGCACTGATAGGCGGCACTGATAGGTGACACTGATGATGGGTACTGATAGACGGCACTGACTGGCATCACTTCTGGGCACTGACTGGCGGCACTGACTGGCACAACCCCTGGGCACTGACTGGTGGCACTGACTGGCAGCACTGCTGGGCTGCACTGGTGGGTGGCACTGGTGGGCAGCACTGGTGGGTGGGCACAGGTGGGTGGCACTGGTGGGCACAGGTGGGTGGCACTGGTGGGCACAGGTGGGTGGCACTGCTGGGCACATGTAGGAGGCACTTCTGGGCACAGGTAGGTGGCACTGCAGAGTGGCACAGGTGGGTGCACTGCTGGGCACAGGTGGGGGCACTGCTGGGCACAGGTGGGGGCACTGCTGGGAACGGGTGGGCGGGGCTAGTGGGCGCACTGCTGGGCGGAACTTGCGGGTGTCACTGCTGGGCACCGATCATCAGGGCACTGATCATCAGTGCCCTGATGATCGGTGCCGATCCCCGCTCTGACAACTGCCGGTTCTCGGCAGTACTTTCCTCACGATCTGACAGCGTGAGGAAAGTGCAGCCGAGAACCGGCACTTGCATTTCCCTGTGATCAGCGTGTCATTGGACACCGCTGATCACGTGGTAAAAGGCCGGTGGGATCGGCCTTTCACCACATCACGTGATCAGCTGTGTCCGTAGGTCACAGCGATCACGGAGATCGCCGGGTGCGCGCCCCCTGGGGTGCGCAGGAGAGCGCGTTCTGGGAGGACATCATATGACGTCATATGACGTCCACTCAGAACTGGCCGGCCGCGGTGAAGCCGTCATTCGGCTATGCGCGGTCGGCAAGAGGTTAATAAACATGTATACCCACTTTTGCATTACTTCTAATGCAGACATCCTGACTGATGCTCTAACCCCTTTCCTCTCTATCTAGGAAAAAATTGGCAGGGTTTGTCTTTAAATATTTGTTAAAGAATGCATAACAGGAAGCAACAGTGTTGATTTTACTAAAGGCAAATAGACTGTGCACTTTGCAAAGTGCAGTTGTTCGATAGCTTAGTAAATGAGGTAAAGCTTCACTTGTAAAAAGAAACAAAAAAAAAAAAACCCAGCATTTTTGCTTGCATATGATTGGACGATGGAAGTGCTCATTTAATATGCTCTGAAGCAACTGCTCTTGCAGAGTGCAACTGCACTTTGAAAAGTGCACAGTCTATTTGCCTTTAGTAAATCATCCCCCAATATCTTGCGCACACGAAATGGCAGCAGAAACAAATACAATGTGGTTGATTTACTAATCCTGTAGAGTGCTAAATCTGGTGCAGCTCTGCATAGAAACCGATCAGCTTCCAGTTTTTATTCTCAAAGCTTAATTGAACAAGCTGAAGTTCGAAGCTGAATCAAAGATAGTGTTACGCTCCACTAACATCAGCAGTAAAAATAATATCAGATAGGTGAATGAGATAAATTATAGTCCAACATCAAATTAAAAGTGACAATGCAATCACATTGCTGCTGCAAAAATGTCCTTAATAAATCCGTGACTTTTGACATTCCTTCTAGTAGTGTGATACGAAGTAATTAACGTGCAATCCACCAATCATAAGAATAGTGTACACCTTCACCGGTTGTGCTCTCACCTGGCATATATGACCAAACCGTTAAGTGAGGTCATAAAAGGCTTGTGTCCCTTTAATTGGACTTAGGGGTAAATGAATGAGATTATCCCTCTTTCCTGGGGATGGATGGAGTTATCCCTCTTCTCACTAGGGGGTCTCCTCGCTTCCTTAGGAATTTTCCTCCGTAGGTATAAGTGCCATGAAAGGTAATAAAAAATACAGTGCCTTATCTTCTTTTTAAAATTATTTATGAAATAAATTAGTGCACTCACATCTATTACAGGTTAAAATCGCTTTAAAATGTTGAGATTTGAATCCACAGTGTGTTTGGAAACTGCAGTATACTTGCTGCGTGTGTTGCCTTTAAGCGTTGTGATGTCAGAGCCCCTCTCCTACGCGTTACGCCACCGGGTCACGTGGTTTCATCAGGGGGACATTTCCTTGCTCCCTGTCATGGCCTTAAGTTATGTGGATTGAATTTCTTCCCTTGGATAAGAGGACCTGTTTTTTGTTCAAAGACTAGTTTGGATTATTATTTAGTATTAAAAGTTGTGACTAAGCTTAAAGTGGAGTTCCAGTCAAAGCTAAAAGCTGTAGCTGCTGACTTTTATAATCAGTCACTCACCTGTCCTACGATCCAGTGGTGTACTCACCATAGCTGGGTTCACTGGCCAGTCTCGCTCCCAAGAGCTAGCTTCTTAAATGTGGGCACCCAGCTTTGACAGCTTGCAGCTTTACAGCCAGGTGCCCACTGCGCATGTCCCAGAAGACTACAGGGAGGAAGGGGGGGGCAACTTCTGCTTATGATCACCTAGGTTAGGGGTCTCCAAACTGTGGCCGGAGGGCCAGATGTGCTACCCTTTATCCAGCCATTGGGGCACTATTACTCCCACTGAGACCAACAATGTGGAAGTTCTTCTTCCCATGAAACCAATGATGGCACCACTAATACCAATAATGAGGCACTACTCATCCTCCTACTGACCAACAACCCAGACACCATGTTTATTCTCACTGATGCTGGAGCCAGGACATTTTCTATCCTGACTGACCCTAATCCGGCCTTCCTAAAGTCCTCCATATACAGAATCCTATACCCACAGTTGATATAGAGGAATGCAAAAGAATGCTATAAAGCATAATTCAATTTTGTCCATTGAGGTAAAAATACTTGGAGCTCCAGGGGGCTTTACAAGGTATGTGATGGTATGTGCAGGCCTTTAGGACTGCTTTAGTTGCCTAGCCAAAACAAAGAGCTTTACAGAAAAACACAGGTTCACTTCTTAGCTTGCAGCTGTGTGCACCTTAAGGGAGTTTGTAAAACATGTATAACAGCCCTTGGCCCGCTTTTTATGTCAACCACTTTGTTTGTAACCATTTTGCAATACATATTAAAAGAAGACCACAAGTGCACAATTTATTTTGGATCTCATGGGTTGCTTCACATTGGAAAATATCTCTAAATTCCTGTTCTGGCAGCAGCTTAGTATTTTGGATTTCCCCTACCTTTTGGTCTCAATGAAAATAGCCACTAGGATGAAGAGATAGGTTGAAGCTTCCCAGTGGAGACACAGACTTCGCTAAAAATGTACCCAGAGTTCTAACCCATCATCACTATTAAAATCTGAAAAAAAGTTTGGCTTTAGATATACTTTAAGCTATATAACATAAAGAAACAGTACTAAACCTTTACCAATTGTAATTCTTGTCATTTGATAGGAATAAATTAGAAGCCAGATAGTGGCATAACCATTAGTCAGTGGTATTGATATTTAAGCACTTAAATAATCATGCTACATGTTTATCCTGCGTTACATCATGATAATAGAAAGAGCTCTCCGAACCATGTGCCCAGAGTTCGATAGCTGTTCAATTTTTTTTATACAACATTAGTGCAGCACAACCTTTTAACTGTCATGATTATCAGATCTACACAATATCCACACTGAATATACATAAATGTATAACATAACATTGCTGTCTCCCTAGTGTCAGGGTTCGGCATGTGGTGGACCAGGTTACTGGGAGGGGCTGGGTATGACCCAGCTGTCTTGGCCCATGTTGGAACCAATGACAGAATACATGGAAGGTGGAGGCTCTTTAAGAATCAATTTAAAGAACTAGGCTACAAGTTGAAGGGAAGGACCTCCAATGTGATATTCTCTGAAATATTACCTGTGCCATGCGCAACTCAGGAAAGACAGGGGGAGATTAGAGATCTCAATGCATGACTAAAGACCTGGTGTAAGAGGGAAGGATTTCGGTTTCTAAAGCACTGGGCTGACTTTTCATTGGGGTGCAACCTATATGCTAGAGATGGTTTGCACTTATATGGAAGGGGGTCTGCTGTGCTGGGGGAGAGGTTTATGGGAAGGCTGGGGGAGTATTTAAACTAGGGTCGAGGGGGGAGGGAGAATTCGATTATAACGGGGTAGACAGATCAGACAGGGGTCAGTACTTATTGGTGGGTGGAATGGGGAAAGATGGGAGGAGAGCTATGGCAGATGATAAGAAGGTTCCCATGTTACAAACAACCAGTGGAATTGGTACCATTTGTATGAAAATAAAAAAATGTGCAAATTACGTGTGCAAAAGGTGACATCCTCCCAGAACGCTGTCACAGCGTGAGGAAAGTACTACCGATAACCGGCAATTGTCAAAGGAAGGATCGGCACCGATCATCAGGGCACTGATGATCAGTGCCCTGATGATCAGTGCCCAGCAGTGCCACCCACCAGTGCTGCCCACCTGTGCCCAGCAGTGCCACCCACCAGTGCCCCCCATCAGTGCTGCCCAGCAGTGCCACCCATCAGTGACCATCAGTGCTGCCAGTCAGTGCAGCCTCATCAATGCACATCAGTGAAGGAGAAAAGTTACCTGTTTGCAAAATTTTATAATAGAAACAAAGAAAGACTTTTTTTTCTTTCAGATTTTTTGCTCTTATTTTGTTTATAGCACAAAAAATAAAACACCCAGTGGTGAATAAATATCACCAAAAGAAAGCTCTATTTGTGTGAAAAAATTATAAAAATTTAATATGGGTACAATGTTGCATGACCGCACAATTGTCATTCAAAATGCAACAGCGTTGAAAGCTGAAGATTGGCATGGGCAGGAAGGGGGTATAAGTGTCCGGTAGGCAAGTTGTTAAATATAAAAATGAGGGAACACTGTCATCATTTAAACATTACAAAGAATATAACAGCATATGCAAAAAGGAAAACAAACGACAGATTGCAGAAAGATAGCAGGACCAACCCCAAAAAATTCTTCAAATATATTAATAGTAAAAAGGTCCAGTCCAAGCATGTAGGCCCTTTACAAAATAATCTAGAGTGGGTGACTGGGGACAGAGAGAAGGCAAATTTATTTAATACCTTATTCAGCTCTGTGTATACAAAGGAGCATGGGGAGCTCTTGTCCATAATGGGCATGGTATTGACACAGCTCAAGATGATCCACATTGGCTCACAAAGGATATGATCCAGAAATATTTGGACAGAATAAAGGTGAATAAAGCACATCGACAGGATGGCATGCACCCAGTGTTGGGACCCTTACTTTTTAACCTCCCTGGAGGTATTCCCAAGTGTAGCTTGGGGTAAAGTTTCAGCACCACAAGCGGTAACCCCGAGCTACACTCGGGAATACCTTGCAGCGTTGCTTCGTGATCTCTTCTGCACTTACCTCGTCCTGAGCTCCCATGATGTCCCCTCTGCAGTGTCCCCAGAAATGTCCTCCGGCCGATATCGGCATCTGTCTTCCGGGTTCCATTCCCTGTGACGTCAGGACGTACGGGGACGGAACTGGTGGGAAATTTTAAAATATTTACTGTTCTTTCTGCTTGGAAACTGAGAAATGTCCATGGCGTCCAAAAAGCTACCTTTTAGATCAAAAGCAGTTTTAGACCAGCTAGAGAAACAGCGATAGTAAATTAGAACTACTTGCAGAATTGAGTGATAATGATTCGTGGGGAAATTCGTCATCAGACACTGAAAACGATTTTGCGACTTTGCTCAGTGATGTGCGAACTTGGCACTATATTTCAAATTTCAGTGTTTTTGGTTTGATTATATTATTGAATTAAATGTATTATTATTATATTATTATTTTTTTATGACTATTTATTAAATTATAATTTATGATTTTGTGTTTCAAATTTTAACATAACCGGGATGATTACTAGACTCTTGTTTGGACAGATTTCAGTGAATTATTCCTAAAAATTACAGGCCTACAATAAAAAAACTACATATTTCCATTTAAAAAAAAATGGACCGCTTTGAGCACAGAAATACTGACATAATCAGACCGCTAGGGAGGCTACTATATATATATAACGATATAGGGTCTGGGATTAAAAATCTCATTTCAGTCTTCTCAGATGACACCAAACTGTGCAGTGGAATAACGTCCTCACAGGATGTCTCCAATTTACAAGCCTACCTCAATGCACTGTGTAATTGGGCAACTATGTGGCAAATGAGGTTTAATGTTGATAAATGTAAGGTTATGCATTTGGGGGCTAAGAATATGCATGCATCATACATAATAGAGGGATACAACTGGGGGAATCAATGGTGGAGAAGGATCTGGGAGTTCTGATAGATCACAAGCTTAATAATGGTATGCAATGCAAGCTGCAGATTCTAAAGCGAGTAAAATCCTCTCTTGTATTAAAAGAGGTATAGACTCCATAGAAAGAGATATCATTTTACCCCTGTACAAATCATTAGTAAGACCTCATCTGGAATATGAAGTTCAGTTTTGGGCACAAATTCACAAAAAGAACATTGGGGAACTGGAGAAAGTACAGAGAAGGGCAACCAAACTGATAAGAGTCATGGAGGAGTTCAGATATGAGGAAAGATGACAGGAACTGAATTTATTATCTCTTGAGAAGAGGAGATTAAGGGGAGATATGATCAACATATATAAATACATCAGTGGTTCATATAGTGAACTCGGTGTAGAGCTATTCACCCTGCAGTCAACACAGAGGACAAGGGGGCACTCTTTACGTCTGGAAGTAAAGAAATTTAATCTCCAAACACGGAAAGGTTTCTTCACAGTGAGAGCTTTGAAATGTGGAATAGACTCCCTCAAGAGTTGGTTCTGGCTAGCTCAGTGGATTGCTTTAAACAAAGGCCTCGATTCTTTCTTAGATACATAGAATATAAACTGGATACTAACATTTATAGGTAAAGTTGATCCAGGGAATATCCATTCGCCTCTAGGGGGATCAGTAAGGAATGTTTTCCCCTGCAGGAGCAAATTGGATCATACTTTGCTGTTTTTTTTTTGCCTTCCTCTGGATCAACTGTGGGTATAGGATTAAAACTTTTTTTTAATTTTTTTTTCTTGAATGGTTGAACTGGATGGATGGACTTTTATCTATTTTTCAGCCAGACTAACTATATAAATCACCCAAGCTGTTAAATTATGCCAAAATCCCTGCAATCCAATGCTAAATATTGTCTGTGGCACCACAATAGAATGTAAAAACCAGAGATCATATGGACTTCAAATACCTATCATTTTAACTTTCCATCGAGCATGAAAAAGCTACTAGGAAATAATCTGTTCTTATGTATTGGTTATTACATTTGGAGAATGACGCAACTCTCCTGCAGCTGTTTATGCTGATGGACAGGAGCTCCTGCAATTACAGTATGTGTATTAATAGCTCAGACGTAATACTTCATCAGTTGTCTCAATAGTGTCATTAATTTAATTTAAAAAAGGGCCAAAGCCAGGGCCAATGCTACAAATGCTACTACAGCCAGGGCCGGTGCTAGACTATTTTGTGCCCTAGGCAAAACCAGCTACTTGAGCCCCCCAAAAAATAAATAAATATATAATTTTAAAAACAGTAGAAATTGTTAAATAAAAAAAACATGAAACTGCAAAATTTCTTTTAATTTGCAAAAATAAGTGCCATAAGATGCCACCAGCACCAATATTAAAGACAAAATCAGTGTCACGGACAGACTGTATCTGCGGCTGGCAGTGGCAGGGTGACAGTTACAGTGAGTGGAGGATGATGGATCCACACTCTTACAGATCTCAGGCTGGAATTCCCCAGGCAATGGGGAGATATAAAATGTTGACAGCAGGCAGCCCAGCCTACACACACACAACACCTGAACTGAGCGATCCCACACAGTGACAGATCCGACACACCACCACCAACACTGACACAGATCAGCAGGCCCAGCAGACACTGGGATCGTGATGATCTCATCACACACTGACACATTGCACATGTGATGGATGGCCAGGAGGGTCACACTCACGCAGATACAAGACATTAAAGTCAGACATTACCTTCCTTATGGTGCAGCTCCACCTTGGCTGATGAATGGGAAGAAAAGGGCTGGAACTCCACAGTGATCAGCAGCCACCAGCCAGCTTGCAGTAAGGGACTGAGTCTGAGATGAACACTGGAAGCTCAGCTGCTACACTGGCCCCAGGCACCGGACATCTTCCTCTGTCCTTTCTTCCTTCCCTCTGCCGTCCCTCCCCTCAGCTGGAGGATCATTTATGACATGGCGGTGTCCCACACAGAAAGAGTGCCAGCCTATGCTGCACCCAGGTGCCCCTAAGTGGCAGTGCACACTAGGCAGCTGCCTAGTTTTCCTAGTGGAAGTCCTGGCCCGGACTACAGCAATACAAGGCTGATGTCTTTTATATGAAATACAGGGGCAAAAAGAAACAGCATTAAATATTATTCTTAAAACACTGAAAGCACATTTTCAATGCTAGGCCCCAGGTTTTGATATTCTAAATTGGGGTTTGTTAAGAAAAAACAATCCCACAATTATTGGTGGTCAGGAATATTACAATCAATTATTGGTGGTCAGTGGCACTTTGACCCCAATCCCAACAATCCCACAATTATCTGTTCTCAGCGGCATTTTAAATCTCCCCATGTTTAAAATTAATCTTACAGCTCTCCTCCCTGTTGTGTTTACAAGAATTTAGTCCATTCGCAAGGAAGGACTGGGAACTTCCACTGTTGGGGGTTTGTGAACACAATGGTGTTTACGCTTTTATGGCTGTGCTTGGTTCACAGTGAGCAGAAGGTACACAGGATCACTCTGACTGGCTCTGTACATCATGCTTGTGATCTAAGTTGTTTAATAACAGCTCAGCTCACAGCCATTCACAGGTGCACTTGCCACTCAAGTGTGTTTTCTACAGTGCCATTTTAAAACACTTCAGAAATACACATCCACCTCCATGCCATTTTTTTTACAATATGGCATTACAGAGAGGTAATGATGAAAGAAAAGGAAAGTAGTGCTTACCTTCCCAGGATCTGCTGGTATTTGAGTCCTGTTTCTGGGATTAATGACACCACTGGACAAAACTGCAGTCTCTGACACACCAAGGCTGAAAGAATGGTTGTTTATTGGTCCAGCAGAGTTAGACTACAGCAACAATACAAAAAAAACTGCATACAGTACCACAACCTACAAATAAGATAATGGATAGCCAAAAATCTGTCTCAAGGGCAAAGTTTAGATCTGCTAGGCCCTGATTTAAGGGGGTGCCACAGCGATGGGAGATACACACAGGAGCTTTAGGAATTGGGTAATGCTATGCCTTTAAGCAAGAATGTAACAAAGATGTGGCGAAAGGCCTTTCACCACTGTGGAGTCCATCATAAAGATTGCTCCCCCACCCCAGGAATCCAAAACTTTGCTATTGTGTACTAGGGGGTCAGCAGTCTTTTATGGTCTGTGAGAATGATGGCTGCATTGCTTAATACAGCA